CTTTAGAATGGCTGAAATATACATTTGTCCACACACTCCTCTTTGGGTTCCCAATTCAGATATGCCCAGAGATCACTGTATAACTGAAGAAAAACTCTCTAGAAATATATGCTGTTCAAAAGTACAGAGAAGAAATGTGCTGATCACAGACAGGACAGGACTGAATGGCTTAACTTTTTGTTCACCTCTTACTCTGAACAAACCAGAAGTTCCACTGAAATTGGGTAGTAGGGAAAAAAAAAAAAAAAAAAAAAAAGTGTTTTCCAAACCCAATGCCTCCTATCAAAGAGTGTAACATTACTGAGGGTTACTAACCAGCCAAAAATGACTGATCTTAATTGATCAATCAACACTTCCTAATGTGTGCTGAATAGATCAGTCATCATCAACCGACCAAACTGCTGATTGAAGCTTATATATATTCATGAAAGCATATATGCATTTCGTCTAACATATGAAAGGACATTGATATAGTAATAAAATGCACAAGAAAGGTACATTCGATACTAGGACCCTTCAAGCAGCAATGGGAACAAATTGAGACGTCAGAATTGCAAATATTTTCATATTACAGGTTTATTTCAAGCATTGTTGCTTAATAGATACAGTTTATACATTTTTGCACTATATATAAACAATGGAATACTTTCCAAATTATTCCTAGATAAAATATATTACTGGCTCAAAATGTTAATCTGACAATAGTTTCTCCAAGTTACATTTTGTTAAGCATCAATTCAGATCACAGAAAAGACGACAAAATGCTTTGGCAAGGAATCTTTCAGCAGAAATGTTGTTAAAACTATTTTGAATACAGGTATTCCAATTCAAATTTTACTGCAACATCAGTCAAATGGAGAACATGTTTGTACATAGTTATACTGCTTCATTGGAATATAATTCAGAGGAACAGAGATCTTAATTTTTCAAAGTGTGTGGTCCAACATTTGAATCTTTGCCAGTCAAAGAAACTGCCTGCTGCTTTTCAACACACAATGGTGTAGCAAGTTTTTGAAACCTCTAACTGCACTACAGCGATGGTCACTGTTAAAACAAAGTTCCTGGCAAGCCCTGGGCCTGTGCAAGGCTGGAAGGACTGCCAAAGGTATCAATACAAAGGAAAATATGTTCACTGAATTGCACACATTGAGCTTCTAGGAGGGTTAACAGTTCTTGTCACAGGCTCCTGACTGTAGTTGACAATATCTGCCTTCACCACCCGCTGTCATAAAAGAGAACACAATGATTATCAAGATATGAGAAGCAAACTGTGTTTGAAGTGCTGCTAAAACACTGAACATGGCAATTTCCTTAATGAATGTCTCCTTTCCTAGAACACAGATACTTTACCAACATGTTTGCTAGTACCAATAAAGAATGAATCTGTGAAACAGACATTGTGTAGTATTCTTTCCCTGGTTTCACGTATCAAGACTTGTCAGGGGCTAATTATTATTAATACCAATTGCATAGATAGGCAGAACGCTTAAAGACCAAAATGAAGGAATATAAACACTAAGTGTGCACAAATTGTATCACCCCATATGATGTACTGCAAACATGTGTTTGTTACACTGTTTATCTGAGGCTCAAAGATACTTCTATTCTATTTAGGAAACCTGTGATTATAGAATGTGTTATTGACTGAGAGCCCCATCACAATATCCTTACAAAAGAAATTCTATACAGAACAGATTCTATATTTATACATTAAAATATACTTACATTGTACCTAAAACAATAACCTTTGAGCAGAGTCCCATTCTAACTGGTCCGTGATATTTCTTGATATTACTATTGACAGCTATTTTAGCCAGTTAGAACACATATATGCAAGAGGAATAGATTTTCAAAGTTTGGTAGCAAAGGGAGACCACTTATTTCCATATCTGGAACCATTCAGTGACCAAATGAGCCAACTATGTACTATTCTGACTACCCAGCTTTTTAATGTCTTGTCAAAACATTTATATGCAATATTATATTATTAATATGGGTGTAGGGACAGAGCAGTTAAGCCAGGGGTGGACAAAATATGGCCCACAGGCTAGATCCAGCCCACCAAGGGATTTTAATTTGGCCTATGGTGGGTCCCTTGGTCCTGCCAGGCCCAGGTATGGGGGCAGCCCCGGCCGTGGCATGTGCATTTGGTTCCACTGTCTCTGGGCACACCGTGGGGCTGGGACAGCATGGTACCCACTCACTTCCTCACAACACCCACATCAGCATCTTCCACCAGCTGCCACTGTCAGTCTCTGCCCCTGCCACAGGACCTGGCCCCACTGTCCAGGCACCCTGGCCCATCTGCCTTGCACCCACTGCTGGGGGTACTTGACAGAGTGGGTGGGCAGAGTCTCCATGGAGACCAGCCCAGGACCCATATGGGCAAAGTGTGCTCGGCTGGACGGAGAGGCTGGAGCTGTGGGCAGGTGGGGAGTAGTGTTTGGGAACAGGAAAGGTGGGTGGGACCAGGGCTGGGATCAGCATCATGGGGCCAAGGCCTGGGGCTAAGCTGACACCTGCAACGGGTGCCATTTCTGTGAGCAGGGACAAACAGGGAGTAGATCATGGCTCTGCTCCAGGCCCTGGTCCCACCCCGTCACTGCCCCATGATCTTGATCCCATCCCCGGCCCTGCTCCAGCCCCTGTCCATCCCACTTCTGGATGCCATTCCCCACCTGCCCATGGCCCTCACCCAAATGAGTGAGCCCTGCTTGTGTCAATCTCCATGGAGATCCCAGGATTGCCAGGTGGTGATAGCATGGGGTCAGGCTCTGGGGCAGCACCACTTGGAGTTTTGGTGAGCTGTTGCAGGGCTGGGGAAGATGTGGGGGTGGTGCTAACCTGGCTCATGACAGTTCACCAAAACTCCCCAAGTGGCTCTCTAGCCCAAATAACTGTCCACCCCTGTAAGCCATCTTGCTACAGTTCTGGATGCATAAATTCAAGACCAGCTCTTAACTCATCGAATAGGCTGTCCCCAATTGACCCAACTGTAAATGGCAGTTTGTCATTCACGCTAAGACAGAAAGAAGGCTAATGATAATGGGTACACCACTCCCTTGCATGCTGTGATTACCCAATGGCCCATTCGGTCAGGTGGACTTTTAACATTCAGTGTTGGAAATTCAATATTTGTAACAGTTCTGAATTGATATGTAACATATTATTATATTTATGAAACGTACTATGTATTTAGAGTGATATTCAGTGTCATAATCACGACATCACAGGAAAGCAACATAACTTGGAAAAAAAATGCATCTTTTTTACCGTAATACTTGGACTACTGCACTGAACAGACTTTACTTTGACAGTTGGTAGTGTTCTGTTGGTTATCTTCAGGATACTTCACTATTTCTGCCCTGACAACATGCTGTCAACCACGAATCAGTATAACAGACAGAAAGCAAGAAGAATGAGAAACAAAAGAAAAGGAGAAAATGAAGACATCAATAGCTGAAAAAGAAGGAATGACAAGTGATAGCACAAAAGCAAACCAGTTGAACAAGAAGTATGTTTCTATCCCCGCTGCTAAAGAGAAATATATGTAGTAGATAGTTACATAGCTGGAGTCAAGAGTTGGTTCTCAGCTTTATCAATTATGTTTTTTCTAAAAACCAGTATGAAACTAATCAACAAGAGGAACCAATAAAAATGTATGAAGTAATAGTAGTGGCAGGATGAAAAAGAAAGGGAACTAAAAAGGAGAAAAAGATGACAAACTTTCTTTCTTTGTGTATAATTCAATGTTTGTAGATCTGTCTCCTATCCACAACTCTACTAAAGCCACCTGTGGATCATGCTCACTATATAATTACTGTGGTATCATTACTGGTCCAAAATAATAAAGTTAACACAAGCCTCATATCCAGGTGCTCTGAGTTTGTATGTTTGTTTTACATGCAAACTTTTCTTAGTCATTTGTAAATCCTGAAAAAGTGTTTTTGCAGTGAAATGACTGGCACTTATACTTTGCAAAAGGAGACTTAGAAAAAGCATATTTGAATTTTATGGTAAACTTCTAATGACATGAAATACATATTAAACAACTGCCTTGACAATTCTTTGCCAAATATTTACCTTTAATAAAAACAAAAACAAAAATCTTCTCAACTTTCCTTGTTAAAAAAACCCAATTAAATATTTCAGAATAAAATGCAATGTTTTTTCTAAAGGGATAAAAAAAATAATATAAATATGTTCAAAAAACCCCAGAAAGGCAATATCAAAGAAAAAAATTGCTATGGAAACTGTATGGACCAAATCCACTGCATTTCTTATATAATTCTTATCATTATATTATTTCTTTTTACATTCAAAATATTTTCCAGTTACAAATGATATACAGTTGAGGGGGATAAAAAACATACATGCATACATACATACGTACATACATACATATGAAACACTATTTAATATAGGTGATAAGTATATACAAACACTGCTTGCTGAAGATAACCTTTGTAAATAAAGATTATATGTTATACAAGCAATAGTAATTGAACTGGGAGGTACAAGATCTAGATTTATTACCTGGTGATGTACTCTGCTAAAGGTTTAATTGATCAACTTCATATTATCTTATCTGGTAGACAACAGTCATGATTTAGTAAACTTCAGACCCAATGTTATCAAGGGAAAGGTTGCCAAATCCCATGTAAAGCACTGTAGGGGTTCAGCATTAAACAGTGTTATCTGACCTCACCAGATTTAATTTCTTCATACCAAGATCCACGCTAAAGCCAAGGAAAAGAAACCTTGCAATCAATAAGCAATTAATTGTTCCCCCAAATGTTGGTTTAAATCCCATCATGTAAACACAGCTAGGTTAGTGACCCATGTTTAAGTCACTTTGTGGCAGGAGACTGATTAACATAAATGACTTGGATTTTCTAAAAGAATTTCAGTAAAGGAAGGAGAAAAACACCATTGCAGCGATTTTACTACTAGACTCACTCCTTTTGCATACACATGATCCATTTTGATACTACCACTATCAAATCTGATAATAAGCTTCTGCCAAGTAGCAGAGCTGCACATTTCCTTATTTAGTGCAGTTGCTCTGAATTTCGCATCTTATTTAATTGCCAAACACTTTATTGTACAGGACTGAGACTAGCTCTAATTTGCTCAACTGGCATTTAATTAAAGTGAAAACGTATATCCCTTACAAAAATGCTAACCCTTGCCAATGCCAAGAAACAAATTGTACCCCATGCAGTTTTTATACTATGACTGCAAGTAAAAAAAATTGAAAGAAAAATATTTTATTAGTTAAAGAGCCATTTCCTACATTTCAAAGGACCCTTGTGATTTAAATGAGTGAAAAATTAGAGGGCTGAAAATAAGTTAAAAAAATTAAATGTTCTTGTTTTGGAATTTCACCTTAAAACACACTCTCTTTTCCAATCACACGCAGGTATCTTCAGTTTTAGATAAGGCGGCAGTTATGGTGCAAGAACAGACTTCAGAACAGATTAAAATCAATAGAAATTTTGCTCTCGTCTTTAATGTGGCCAAGAACAACTGCCCTCATCACAAGTGTTTTTGCAGAATTGCCAACTAACTCCAAGTGTTCAAAAAATTAAAAGTCTGAACTAAATAATACATTTGGGATTGTTGTTACTTATCCTCTAACCACTCAAGTCACATTTCCCAGGTTTTCTTTGCAAGCATGAGGTTTAAGAACCTTTTTTAATGAAAGCTGTGATTCTCATGTATAAAATGAGGAGAGCTGAAAACAGTTAGTATTGTGAATGCTGGTATCTTTTACACAAAATAACTAGCAATCTTGAAGAGATGTATTAATAATAGAACAGGTTTCCAATTACACTATTTCTCATGATACTATTTTGGCACGAGTTCCTCTCTCACAGATTTTTCACATTTGGGGTTTATCTGACCTCTATTATTGGACCTTAAAGTTATTACACAGACTAGACATAGTACATTTAAAAAAAATCTGCTTTCTTCTGAGAGTCAGAAAGATACTAAAACAGCTGTTCCACTCTCCTGCTCTTAACAACAGGACGTAGTAAGCATCTTTACGTATGTATGCAAGTAACTATGCCTTGTGGGTACTCCTTGGTGGAGAAAGGCTAAGGGACCTCACCCTCACAGAAATGCACCCTAGCTGAGGCTTTAGGCAGTCAGTAGCAGTTCTTATCTGTTGCTCTTTGGCAGAAGCTGCAATCGTCAAGGCACTGACTGTCTGGACTT